TTCCAAAATTTTTGAAAAGGTTTGATAGCAGTCAGATAGTGTAAACAAAGTGCAATGCAATGCAATATCTCAACCTATAGCTCGCTTTTAAAAATTTTCAGAATTATATTTCTCTATCAAATTCCACTTTTGGTCATACTAAAACTGATGAAACGATAAGCGGCGAATAGCTAAGGTGTTGTTCGATACAGGTTTTTCTCTTCTTTCTGAACGTTTTTTTCCAATTCGTGGGATTTTTGGCAACAAAATCATCAGAATTTTGATTTTCAGGGCGCTCCAAGCTGTGTCCATAAAGTGCAAAACGTGATATTTCGAAGCCTGTTGCTCTGTGAAATAGGTGTTCAATCATATCAGTTTTTCAAAAGTTTCGAATTCTCCAACTTTGTTAGAATTTTGAACGTTTGTGTTTTGCGACTTTGCCAAAGTGAAGACTTTTGGAGAGGAGAATGTCATAGAAAATACTGAGAAGAACATGGCAAAAAACTGCATTGCATTGCACTTTGTTTACGCTATCTAAATGCTATCGCAGCTTTTCTAAACTTCAAAATGAAAATTTCAAAAACCTATTATTGGACCTAGTAAATCTATGGGTTCGAGATTACGGCGTTATTTCAGTGGCCAAAAGAGTAACCAGCACATAAACAACGAAGTTGAAAAGTGAAAGAAAAAGTTTGTCTATTTTGTTGCACTTGTTTTTATGATAGGCTGAAGCAACGGGTAGACTTTCGAAACGACCTAATACAGGGTGGCCGGTATGTGTGGGTGTTACAACGTGTTATATATCTTTTTTGTGAAATATTCTATCATGGCGGCTAATATGTCCGTAGCTTATGGAGTTTCTATAAGATGAGTGAAAATTATACGAATGGTTTTCTGTTGCAAACGGGACTCTTAAGTCTACTTTCTCTAGAGAGGAGCTGCGGCGCGTTCAGTTAACACTATATTTATAGTACCGTGTCTCATTTTGAAGAGGAGAATTTTTTGCTGTTATGGCACTGTGTTATTCTTCGGACTGTGTCTACAAAACCCCAGGTCTTAGAATCTAGAGTCTTAGAATCGATTGCTAATCATTCGAGTCATAGTCAGTCAGCCATCATCATTTAGTGATCGGGTTATTTCAACGGACTAGCAATGGGTACAATCTTCAAGTAGCATTTTTGACGCCTCAACTTCAAGGTAAGCTGCTGAAGTTTGTGTGCATGTGCAGGAACGCAGTTTGCAGGAGTAACACACTAAGATGCTTGTGTTTAGGCTTGCAAAAATAATCTTACAGAATTTTGTTTGTTATAAAAACATCATTGAACGAAAAATGTGACGCCCACACTTCTCGCCCACCCTGTATATAAGAACTTGTGTAAGTGATAAGTGTCCCAATAAGACCTTTAGGGTGGGAACTTTCATTTCATATTGTAAAGAGTTCATCACATTACGTTGTCGTTAGGGGCAGTGTCCCGGCAGATTCGGGTCCTGGGGGATGTACGTGTGGTGGGGTTCCTGGTCACCCCATCGATCTCCAGGCGCACCTCGGCTGGGTGATGTTCCCCCTGGGCCGAGAAAATGGCCCTTGAACCGGCGTGCGCAACCCCAACTGGCGCGCGCTTGGACGGCCCTCCCCGCCTGTTCGACGCGGGACCCCACGAGCGCTCTCCCCCATGATGCATGCTATCCAAAGCAAGAATTACAAGCGGCAGGGTCTTCGTCTGAGGACCTCCCCCAACTTTCCATTGAAAATCTCGTCCAAGCTGCTTTTCTGGAATTAGAAAAACGCCCCAAAATCGGCCTTTTCAGCCCGTTCAAAGCTCAAATTCGAATTCTACGTGGCGGGCCTAAAACATGCAAAAAAGTGGAGGTGCAAAATCTGCCGGGACACTGCCTTTAAGCTGTGAGCTGTGCTGTAGCGTAGCTGAACTTTTGCGGTCACGCCTATTTCTTACTCTCCTAATTGACATAAGTGCTGGTCAAATTAGGGCTTCTTATCAAGCGTCTATCAAGCCGTCATAGGCAAGGCTTCGAATAGGAAATCGCGGCAGACAACATATAATACGGCGGCTTCAGCTACATAAGTGTAGTCGAGCAAGGGATGAGATAACGGATAGTATGTTCAAGATAAAGGTGGTCAAGCAGGAGCAAAGGCGCCGGATAAACTCACATAAACATATGAAGTAATCACACGCAGGCGATAACGAAGATTGAAATAAGAATAAACAGTTTTAACTTGAGGAAAAGGGCGGGGTGATTTCGACAAGAGGGAGAGAAGTGATCCGTAGACGATTCTGTGGAAGAGGCAGCGAAAGCTGCCTCAAGCCTGACTTCCGTGAGTGTGGCTATTACTTCATATAGTACCTGAGGCGAGGCAAGGAAAAATGAGTCATTCGTGCAAACATTCGCTTTTTCCTACAATATAAGTTTTTAAATTTCCTACATAAATCTGTTCTACGCCTAATTTTTGCTAATAGCAAGATTGTAGTTTCAAAATCCCTCTTCTCCTCTTTGCAGGATCAAAAAGATCAAAAAAGGCCGGTGTCCTAAAGGAGAAAAAATTCAAGAGCTCACGCAGCTACATGATCAAGCGGGATCATAACATTCATATGCAGCAAAGGCGAGATCGAGTGTCAAGTGTTTAAAGGCAGCGTATACTCAGAATTTCGCCTTCGATGTTTTTGTCATTCTGGGGCCTGCAATTTATTACAGTTACGAGATTGAAATTCTCCAAAATTCCCTAAAAACCCGATTCTCGGGGACCTCTCTTCAGAGGGCGGACGAGTTTCGAAGTGCTCGTCCCCGTCGGCATCCCAGCGAGAAGCAGCTGCAACAGCATGACAGCCTGCAGTTGCAACTGCAACTGCAGCTTATGCTGCCATGGATTCGCCCGAAAGACGGACAAAGAAGGGGACCGAGCGTATAGAGAATCAGGCGGATTTTCTCCGCTCAGAAGCAACATTGGGAGAACGGACCAACGCAATTGGTCTTCTTGTGGGCCCTACATATACACCGTATAGAGAACTGGGTAACTTAGGTTCTGCGTGTACGCTGCCTTTAATAGCCATCCTCGCGCTTGTCCCTGGACTATATCTGTCTAAACAACATGGGATGTCTGATGCGCACGCGATGTAGAGATCTAATTGAGATTGATTATGCGTAAGTCGAGCTATTGGTAATCTAGAGACATCTTCTAACGAAAAGAGCGCCCTTCTAATACGTACATTGGAAGGAATGCGAGTGGCAAATGCATGCGTCACACAGACTGTAATTTAACCTGTAAAGAATTGAACGCGCTCTAGACTGCACCTTAATTCAAAATCAAAAAGTGGAACTTTAAAAAAAACTGGCCCATGCTCTTTCAGCTAATCGCCAATGTATAGTCTGCTGCATGACGATCGCATTAATATCTTTGGGAGCGAATGCGGTTTCATTAGCCGCAGAGAGCATAAAACGCGAACTTACAGCGGTGAATATACGCGCTTGTTGCGTTCGAGCTCGCTCAACTAGAACTGCTTCTGCGCCTTGTCATGCAGTAGCCTTTGACTGAAAAAACGCAAGGAATTGTGCAATCACTTTCTGAACAGCTGCATTTCTCTGCCAAGTTCCTTATAAAAAGTTGCCAAGGATACCTCACCATAAAATACTCTCGGAAGCACAATCTTTTCGCAGCACAGCGCTCAAGCAATATGGGAAGCAAAGTTTATTTTTTCAAAACCTCATAAATTGTCAAATCCCTCTCCCTTCAAGGTTTGTCAGCACAGAAGATAATAGCCTACCTTGCTGCCGCAAGCCAGTGGTACAAAAAAGATGGAAAGGCCTCACACAAAAAATATTTGCGAAAAGAGAAGAAAAGTTGATCTAACATTGCCGCTTTTTCAACGTTTTATTCTGGCCTAAAAGTCGAACGTTGAGATTTTCCTCCGATTCTCTATGTACTAAACAGCTTCATGTTGCAAAAACTGTTTCCATGGTTTGTGTAAGAACACCAGTAGAGCTCATTTCAATTTTGCGGAGTGAAGGTGATTCGAAGAGGGCCAATTGGAGGTAACCCTGTGCTGATGCAGAACCGCTTTTATCCGCAGTATGGGATTGTGGAGGAGAGGGTGGGCTAAAAGAGCGAGTCGGTTAAGGCAGCAGAAGGTGAAACGAGAAGAGAGAAACCGCGAAGAGGAGAGCGGCATGTTCTGCCAAATCCTGATTCACCTTCCCAGTCTTTAGGCCAAATGAAACTGTAGTTCGAGCGAGACCGGGTATGCCAGGTGACAGTATTATGCGTCGCAAAGCTCCTTCAGATACCATTCTGCATCATTCCGCTCAATTTGACTTACAAGGAAAGGATACTTGGTCGAAGTGGCGTCTCCATATGAAATGTACACTATCTTATAGAGCGTGGAACGTTGATTCCAAATCTGCTTCGGTATCTACAAAGCATTGGGAGGCTTTTAGCTAAGGCTAAGACTCTAAACTTTTCGAGAGATTCCACAATTCTGATTCATGTATTCGCACTTTTGCGATAGCTTGTTCAAGACGTCCACTTTCAATGAAAATTCATAGAAGTTTTCGATAATTTGTGTTGCTTTGCATAAGCTAATAATTTTTTGGGGATTGTACTAAACACTGGTAATAGCAGTTTATGTGAAAAAATGTGCAGCCACTACAGGAGGATAACGAAACTAGATAGCACTGGAGAAATAAATCCCTCAAGCAACAAGATCGAATCCCTTTAACCATTCGTTCCCCATTCTCTTCCTCCCCCCCCCCCTCTCCTACTCCTCCTCGCCCTTTCCTACCTCATACATTCTAGCTGATGTGAGGACCAAAAGTGGAAAAAAATCAAAACTCTTTAGAATTATAGAGCTTTGCACCGTGGGATAATACACACTCTATTAGAAAACTTGATTTGCATCATCACAAATAAGCTATTTCATTTGATTCAGAAAGCTTGAACTTTAAGATCATTTTGCTCTCTCATGCTCAGAATCTTCGAAATATTACAGCATAAAGAAGCACTGAGCAAGATGTTGGATTTACAAGTCTTCCTACTAGTTGCCGCAGGGTTGGCAGAAGGAAGAAAGAATAAATGGAAGAATTTCAAAGATTTTGATTATCTGGTAAGTAAAAAATCGTGGCACATAGACGAGTTAAAGCATGCTTTAAAGGACTTTCTCGAATGTTACCATATTGACATCACTTCATTTTGAGATTCCTTTCTTGCACAGAAAGGTTTGAAGGAAAAAGTTGATCGGCCTATCAACAGTCATCAAAAGTGAAAAGTGATTAGTTTAGGACAATAATTCATTTTTTTAGGTCGTCGGTGATTATTTTATAGGCTTTATCGAAGCCGAATCGATGTGTGTCAACAGGAGCGCTCATCTGGCATCAATTCACAGCAAGGAGGAAAATGACTTTATTCTTAGTAAGTATATCAAGTACTAATTCAGCTCATTGGAAGAAAAGAGTTTGGCTTGCACATCAGTACAAACTGGTCAAGCCAAAAGCTGTACGTCGAAGTCACCTTTAGAGCCATCCTTTCTTACAGTCAACGCAGTGCATTTCAAGCGTAATTTCTTAGCAAAATAATGGTGTTTAATGGCTTGTAGCTTCGTCCACAGAAGCGGGAAGCAGATAAGAAAGACAGATTCGAAGTCAGCGTTTTATACTGCATCGAATGGTATACAGCTTGTTTGGTTTGGCCACTTCGACTTCTGACCATTCCCTTGTGAGGCGAGAATGCTGAAATTCGGTGGTTCCATCAAAAAATCTATGCAAAAATTATGACGAGCTCTGGATCTAGAAAAAAGTTGTGCTGTTTCCTGTAGGGGTTGCTCTATCCATCCATTTCTTGGACTCCTTTTGAGGGTTGTTGTAAAAATTTAGAAAAATTGTGAAACTTGGCCTTCCCAAAAGCATGGGTCGCAGATTTTGATAATTTTTCGAGAGGTTATTGAATTCTATGCAGTGATTATATAACAATTAGAAAGAGTATAAAATGCTGCATCAAATACTTACAGAATCTTTTACACATCTTTGTTCCACGAGATGTGGCGTACGTTTGAAAAAAGCGACATTACTTTCCGAACGACCTAATGCAAAGCAGTAGCTATTTATTCGTGAAGAGGTAGCTTTATTCCTCTATTATCATTATCCTTTGGTTGCATTTTTCTACCAATAAGCATTCCGACCTCGTAAATGCCGTTCAACTATAGGGAGTGCACAGACCAGGACTCGGCACGAGGTGACTAGTTGAAAACGCAAAAAACGAAGTCCCCCTTGGCTTTTGCGAATTTTTACGAAGTCCCCTTTGATCCTAGACCATAATCCCTAAAAAATCTCCAAAAAACGAAACGTCGACTGAAAAAAAGGTCGCAAATTTCGTGTCTTTCCGCCCACGAAAACGAAATCTTCTTTGCTTTTTGTCCCAAAAACGATATCCAGCTTGCTTGTAAGCCCCCTATGCCGAGCTCTGGCACAGACGAGTGATTTGGCAATGAGGTTGTTCACACAATTCTTCTACAAGGCGGACCACAATAAGATTATGCGCCTGCTGTTATAAGGTTCTGCAACCAAACATGTAAAAATTTCCAGAAATTGCGGGTGGAGGTCAAGTTTTGGGTGGTGCAAATCCTTTGGATTCGACCATGGGTATGCAAATGGTTGCAAATATAACAATCACTTCTGAGTGCAGAATGTACATTTTATACCCAACTTCGGTGTTTTCTGGAACATAATTCCTCGGAAATTTAACGCTGGCTATCCTATTTTCCTAGACTGCTTCGTCATCAAAAAAAACTTTTCGCTCGCATAACCCTTCCAATTCTCCTTAATTTACTCTTTCCAATGATACCATGAATTTCTACACAATAATTTTTCGCATCGGTGTTTGAGAATCCCCAACACTCGCATTCTGCATGCTATGTACGCAATCTCAAATTGATTTATTCAATAAGCTGTTGGAGATTGGATAAACATTTGCCTTTTTTGAACTAAATTGCTAACATGCTCGAAATCCAAGATGAAATCTAAAAGTATAATTCAAATTTGTGACTTAACCTTCCATATGGAGAGAATTACGAACAACTTTTCTGAAGATTTTGAAATCAAAAAGCTTTGAAAATTGCTGCTTAGTGCCGTTTTAACGTAAATGTTACTTCTGGTGAGTACTTCGAACAATATGCACATACACGGTACCCAAACTTACTGCAGCTTGGTATACATATTTCAATCAATCTCCAAAAGGTCACAGTTCGAGGTTCTTCAACCGTTTCTTTTCTAGCAGTAGTTTTAGTAAATCGACATTGAAGCGTAAGACAGCCAATCAGTTGAATAAATTTGGAAGAATAGGTGGATCTCAGGAAGCTACGAGTAAAAAAATGATTCCTGCCTTGCACCTCTGATAGAAATTTTATGACTCCTTGTGCTCCTGTCCTTACCTCCACCTGCCGGGCACCCAAAATGCACAGGAGACAGAATCATAATTTATGTTTGCATAATTATCCAAGTTGATACGAAAGCTCTAACTTAGAGGCTGTGGTTAGTGATGAACTTCTCCAGATTCCTTTCTTCTCACCTTAGACTCTCAGATAACTGAATTATAGCCCTATCACTTCAATCGTAAATGAGTGTTTAGCTTTCTTTGACAATCTGCTTCCCTCATACGTATTTTATGTGTCTGCTCAGCAAGAATACCTGCGATTTTTAAAGATTACCGAAAGTTGCTAACACACGTGCTTAATTACCAACTTAATTTCAAATCCCAGATTACTCTAGTACCAAGTTGTTGACTGGTCCGATCTGCTCACGTCGAAGAACGGAACTCAATCTCATGTCGTGGCTGCGCGTTATTTTGCTTTGGCTTGTCTGCATACTATGCCTCATTTTATCTTTTCAGACCTCGCTCCTAACCACTCTGTCATTGGCGGCGCACACGACATTCCCATATATAATATGTGGATTGGAGGGTACATGGCTCAAAGTTGGCAATGGACTGACCTCACCGACTGGAACTACACAAATTGGGAGAAGCGCGAACCCAACAACTATCTCGCGCTGGGAAAGTGCGCATTTGTGAGTTTCTCCACTTTAACCAAATGTACTAACTGCAGAAAAAGTATTCGCCTTTGAGAATATCATAGTGTCGATACATACCATAGATATATTACTGCATAAAATTCTGGTTTCTCAAAGATTCTGCCTCAACCAATAAGTTACGAAAATTCAACAAATATTTTCCACTAACTTAAACTACTATTTCATTTCACTGTCGCATTATTATCGCCAGGAGCTACACAATTCTCATTCAAGCTATTTCAGATGTACACACGACGGTCTCATGAACACAAGGCTGGAAAGTGGTCTGACTACAAGTGCCATGGAGAACTCCTATATTACGTTTGCAAGCGTCCTGCTAACATCAGTCGCAGCTATTGTCCTATGATATAGATTGCCAATATATCTGTTTGGTTCATAATTCATTTATTTACTTATACTAATCTTATTTAACTAAGTTTATAATTGTTTATAATTCATCCTCAGATATCTCAATAAAGATGTCAGCTCTATGGAGTAAACATTGAGTAAAATAATTTATTAGGCTGTTGCAAAAATAATGTCCCGTTTTCTGGGCTTACTTTCCGAACAACTTTTTTTCTTCAAAATTTCTTTTTTCGATATAGATTCTGCACATTTTGGAAAACTTTCATAAAGTTCGTTCTAACTGTGGTTAATAAAGCTTCTATATCGCCTGTGAGAACTTCACCAGCATCTCGCACAGCTGCACTCAAAATCGAAATCTCGTTGCTTCAATTTCCTTGACCACAATTCAGGCGCAAATGAACGAATTCTTTTGAAAACATAGCTACTGTATGGGATGGATATTGTTTACCTATTGCATGTTTGAATTAATTTTTTCAAATTAATCTGGACAGAGAAGTGACGCTTCAGAATAGCTATTCGCTGCATGGAACTTTATGGGTTGAAAATTTTTCCTGATTAGGGCAATTGCCGAAGCTTCGCTCATTTCTGTATGCTTGAGGTCAGGATATCTTCCTACAATTTTTGCAGGAAAAGTTAGTTATTCAGTGCATGAAGAATTTCAATTTTCATAGTTTGGGGCCTTCTGGCCTACCACAAAGAGGCTCAAAAAAGTGAACAATTTTTGATTCTAACTTTCCTTTTCGCAGGTGTCCTCCGTTGAAGTTTTTTCCATACAAATGTATACTACTGGCTTGCTTCTACAAAATCTGATCAGCAGCCATAGGAACAACACTTGAAAGGAGTTGTAATCTCTTAAAAACGAGAATTTTGAAAAAAAAGTTCGGTTTTTTCACGCAGTTTCTTCCCGTTTGCGATATCCGTACATGCTATAGTTAGAACCAAATATTCGTATTCGAATAATTTATTCCAAATATTCGACTATTCGAATATTTGAGAAAGTCCAATTATTCGATTATTTGAATAGTTGAATAAATGGAAAAGGCCTGTATTCGAATGATTCGTTCATTCGACGATTCATAAAAGTGAGTTATTTGAATATTCGTTCATTCGAGGAGTTTTAAAAGACAGTCATTCGAATATTCGATTATTCGAGCCAACTTGGAGGACAATTATTCGAATATTCAAATGTTAAGGAACATTCATTCGAACATTCGACGTCAAAAGAAAACTTCAGTTGTTTCACATTGGGTGCAAATACGTTCCCGATCGGTCAATCATACCATGAATGGATTATATGATAGAATGGCTAGCAATGTTCCCTTTTTAAGGCAATCGCGAGTCATGCCAGGGCACAGTGAGGACCAGCCTTATGCATAATTCATCTGGAGTGATGAACTATCTTCTGAAAATCGCGTCTGCAGAAGTTGAGATGCAATATCATGCGCAAATGCCTCAAAGCTTCAACTTGGGTAAGAAGCAAAGCCGTCATTAGGCGCCGTTTCAACGGACCACTGGTTCTCAAACAGCTTGCATAAACATATGACCAGCAGTACTTTAGGGCAGCACGTATTAGCCACATAATCCTTCATCCCAAGATCTCCACTTCCCTTACCAGCCTAATCACCGCCCGCATGTCAAAATAACCGAAAGATACGTTAACGGAGCGTAAGACAAGAGCAAGGAGGTCACGAGGACCTGAGCCGCTTGATTTGTGGCGGCAGCTTATAAGTAAGTCACATATTCAAATCGGCTGCCTTGTCAGAGGCGTAAAAAAATCTAGAGTCAAAATGTTGCAAAGAGGAATAATACTTTGAGCAGGCGTATAGGTTGAACAATAATTATTTTGCACCTAATTAAAAAATGTGGAAGATCCCTTACGACAAAAGTGCAAGCCTCAAAAATATAGCTAAAACAACTTTATGAAAATTCAATCTCACAACAGAAACTGTGAGACCCAGCGAATGATAATTTCCAACAAGTATTAGATTGGCAGCTAATATACAGATATTTCCATGACTTTTCTTTTTGGATTTGGATTCACACAAAAGTACCATTTGATTCAACTGGCTTGGCATCGGCAAGGGCGGGGCTTCGTAACCTAATTAAGGCTAGGTAACGATCAGAGAGCACTCGCGCGAGAGAGACGCAGGTTCGTCGCGGGCGCGAGCGGCCTCAGTTAGATCACAAAACCCCGCCTTAATGGTGCCAAGCTAGTTGAATCAAATGTTACCTGGACAACAGTGCGTATTTCTGCTGCAGAGGTTCTGATTCTATTGCGTAGGCCTTTCTCGTGCTCTCTTTGTCAATCTTAGGGAAGAATACTTGGTCGAAGTGACGTTTCCGAGTGAATAGGTAGTTTTATAAGGTAGCGTTTTTATAAGCCAACAAAATCGTCAATTTACAGCAAAAATCAATCAAGGTTATATTCCTCGTTGTAGCACACGACCTTTTGGCACATCCTTGTTAGCTTCTCAATCACAATTTTCCAAACGGCAGGGCGGCGGGTCCCAAAAAAGTCATCTAACCAGCGCTCAAACTACTTACTAAGATCGAGATATGCACCACTCATGAGATTTGCTAGACAGCGGAGCATATGATAACCTGCTAGAGCGAGATTTGGAGAGATGTTGAGTACTGACGTACCTTCCAGTCAGATCGTGCAGGACAGTTTTGACGACGTTTGCCGTATGAGAGGCCATGTTTCGTGGTGCAGAAAAACTCACTGAATCTGTCTGTTAGGCTTTTTATGCGGTAAGATCTGGTTTAGACGGTGCAGTTGGATTGCTTGCGGTATGGTTGACCATCGTCTTCTTGTACAGCAAAATTCAATATAGTAAGACGTCCTGCCCGTCCCCCGGAAAGTCTTGTTCAGCGACACCCTGCTCAGCCCCTGATATTTCGTAGCAATCCAATCCTTTTTTGTCTCATTTGATGTGCGAGCGTCAAATCCATAATCGGCAGAAGAATTTGTGCAAAAGCACTTTTTTATAAGGAAAAATGCGCAAACGTCGAAATTGCTCCTTTTTGTCTTTCAAGATTTCCATCTTTGGAAGCTACGAGATCCGAATGAATCAGCTTTTCACCGGAGTTAGTAGACGTATATCAAAAAACACAATCAGCCCTTCCAAATGATATACGGGCCCTGCCGCAGATCAGCCGCTTCTTAAAGATATGAGGACGAAAATGAAAACGCTACGAACTTATGGAACGACCTAACATGTATGTCTTATAGATGATACGCTAATTTCGACACTTCTATATCTGCAAAGCGCTTCCGGAAGGTTTATGTGGGGGGGGGGGGATTTGAGTAGAAACCTAAACTCGCGGTTACAATAAATTCCTTCAAACATGTGCTCGAATGGGGTTATAATTATTACTGCCAGGACGCTTTATGCAACTGATGTCTTCAGTCTAGTAAACTCATGCTAATCATTACACCTTTCAAGCGCCAGGAAAACCACACTGTTTTTACCTTGACCAAGCCCTTGAATTCATACTTCAAATTCCCATATCTCTTCTCTCAGAGGAGCTTTGCAGGTATCGAAAACAGATTTGGAATCAGCGTTCCATGCTCTATGAAATAGTGTTCATTTCATATGAAAACTCTACTTCGACCAAGTATCCTTCCCTTGTTAGAACTCACCAATGCTGACCATCTTATATATAAAGCTAAATGTCTGTTTGTATGTCTGTATGTCTGTCTGTATGTACGTATGTTCCGAATAGAAATTTTTATTTCTGAACCAGTCCGGACCAGACTTGGCACACATACAATTCGGGCCCCGGCGGGTGTCATAGGCTACTTTTCGTCATCGATCGATACCGATTTTACCGATTTTTATCGATTTTTTGCAGAGTTCACCTACGGGGCTGGGATTTGGCATAGGGAGATAATCGAGCATGGGGATTCCGAATACAATATGAGTTTCCACAATTATTGATTACTTTTATCGATTTTATCGATTTTTTGCAAAATTTGAGCTACGGGGCTGGGAGTTGGCACAGGAGGTAATCGAGCATGCTGATTACGAATACAATATTAGTTTCAAAATCGTGCATTACTTTTATCGATTTTATCGATTTTTTTGCAAAGTTTGAGCTACGGGGTTGGGGAGTTGGAGAGGCTACGGAGTTGGTGAGGAAGGTGGGTGAGCATATTGGTTACTAACACAGCGAGAATAGAGAATTGCATGTAGAAGTGGGCACAGGGAAAGGTTGTATAGGGAAGGGAATGGAACTTTATCAATTTTTTTGAAAGGACCGGGCGCAGCCGGGTAAGCCAGCTAGTCACGAATAAATACAAACAACCACCAATCCCGAGAGGTTTTCCATGTTAAATCTGTAGCTTTCGGAGAAACTTCTGTGGGAAGATAAATACGGACTTGAAACGGTTACTAAGAAGGCTTAATAGCCGTTCAAAAGACGATGAACACCTTGAACTACATGTTTGGGTAAAATCCTTTTGTTTCCTAGGTAAATTCTGACCAAGCGACAATAACCAGTCATTCTTACCACTTGCTACGCATATAATTATCAGCTACAAATCTAGATCAAAAATAGTATACTAATTTTTTTGCAGAAAACTGCAACAAAGAAAAAACCAGCACTGTTTCAGCCACAGATCATTTGAATAGTCGAATAATCGGACAGTTATGATTATTCGAATATTCGAAGACTCGAATATTCGACCACTCAGGCAATCGCCGGGGGCAGGCGGGCGCCGGAAAACACGCGTTGCTGAAATTTCGCATTCCGCTCGCAAATTCCAGAAAAATGGTTAGCGGGTTTTTGAGAGACCGCCAGTTAAATTTTTTTTCGCTCTTATCTTTTGCAGATATATTGCTGAATCTCTGATGAATCGAGAACTCAGCAAGCGGTCTTCCGAAAAGTCCTGATTGCTTTCCAAAAAATCCGCGAGCGGGGTGCGAGAAATCAGCCATCTACTTTCCGGTGCCCGCCTGCCCTCGGCGATTGTCTGAGCATATGCACCCCAATTTCACGCGTAC